AAAACGAAAAACACTTAGCGTTTTAGACACCTGGCTTCTTAATTTGTAACATGAGATTCTCAACGCTGAGTTCATATATTGTTCTGGAAGACATTGAGGTAGGTTGATATCTGAAATCAGGGCAAGGATGCTACTCGATCAACTGTGCGCTTGAAATTTTTAGAATGAAAGACTCTCATTTGACCAAAAGAATTATTCCTTAGAACCCTAATCCCTTACAGTTGTGCAATATTTTTGGTTTGCAAAGGACATTCACACATTTTGTCATTTAACTTCCACTAAAACTCTAAGCTACGTTGAACACACATGTTACTGAGTCTGAGAGATATTAATAGTTTGGTTAAGCCCACAGAGCTAATGAAGCAGGCAAAATCTGATTCTGATGGGCAGCAACATGCCTAGCTATGAAACTAAATGTCCCAACTTCATTTGCTCCTGAATGTGACCATGGGAAGCCATTCTATCCAATGAGACATAAAAATGTAAGTCAGCTGAGAATTCCTTTGTTCCATAAGATGTTTCTTTTCTCTTTCATAGACATTACCTGCAATGCTAACTCTGTCTTGGTCTCCTGCTTCCCAGAATATCCAAACTCACACATTTGGGTTCTGCCACATTAAATTATTAAAATGTAATCATTAAAAGGTAGAGGTAGTAAAGGGCAGAATCAGGACAAAAATCCAGGACAAGTCTATGACTTTAACATGCCAGACTTCTTTGAGAGTTCTCTTAAGGAGAATAATGGAATAAGAAATTTAGAAGATAATAAAAGATTTCATAATGGACAAAATAGATTTGCTTCCTACTCTTACTGAACTTTTAGCCTAGTGATTATAGCTGTCAACTTAAATGTCCAAAGATTGGGGCATATTTTTCAACTTGATAAATCATGTGAAATTGGTGTTTCATTGTTCTCTTGACCTGAAAACCCTTTCCTTATTCTAGTTCTCCACACTCCTGTTTTTTTCTAGTGCATACTGAACGCCTCTACTTGGTTGTGCAATAGGCATCTTAAAGTTACCCTGTCCAAAACGAAACTTTCCATTTTCTCTTCCTGGGCTTGCTCTCCCACGTCTTCCCTCTCTTGGCTTTTGGTAGCTCTAGCCTATCAGTTGCTGAGGCCAAAAGTCTTGGAGTCATCTTTGACTCTTCTTTTAATCTGATTCCTTACATCTAGTCAATCAGCAAAATCTGCTGACTCTGTTTAAAATGATATCCAGATTTTAAACGCTTCTTACTATCCATTGCCATCACCAAGCCATCTCTTGCCTGAATTATTGTAATAACCTTCTATCTGAACTCATTGCTTCTCTCTCTGCCCTCTGCAAGTCTAATCTCAACACAACAAGAAAGATAATTCTATTACATTTGTGTCTCCTCTGCTCAAAACCTAACAATATCTTTTCCTTTTACTCAGAGAAAAGATGAAGTCCTTATAATGCTCCACCATGCCCTACATAATTTAGATTCTCCTTCTTTTTATGCCTTTATCTACTACTAGCTTAATTCATTCCAGCTACACTGGCCTTCTTACCCTTTCTTCAACATTTTACACATGATTCCACTTTAGGGCATTTAGAACTGATTTTTCTGGGATGTTCTTTCCCCTGAATAACCACTTGATTTGCCTCTTCATTTCCTTTAGATTGTTTCTTAAACGTCACCTTCTCATTGATAACTTCCAGGACCTCATTATTTTAAATTGTTACCCTCCCACAACCTTCCTATTCCTTGCCTACTTTACTTTTTATTTATGTGGCTTATCACCATTTAGTATACACTCCTGCATTCCTTAAGAACAGGGATATGTTCTGAGAAATGCTTCTTTAGGGGATTTCATTGTTGTGTGAACATCACAAAGTGTACTCACACAAACCTAGATGGTATAGCTTACCACACACCTAGGCTGTATGGTACTAATCTTATGGGACCACCATCTATATGTAGTCTGTCGTTGACTGAAATGTCGTGATGTGGTGCATGACTGCGCTATATATTTAGTGTCTTTATTTTATTGTCTATATTCCCCCTCTAGAATGTAAGTTTCTAGAGGGAAATGTATTTTGTCTATTTTATTAATGGTTGCTATGTTGCAGAACTCCAGTGGCACCATTTCCACTGTGGAAGAAAATACTTGGCAAATACTTGACTCTTAAAAATATTATCTGAATGAATGAACATTCATGAAGTCTGCATGGTACCAGTATATTATCATATATTTAAATGAAAAACAAAGCAGAAATCAAAATTATTTTTGCAACTGATACTATGTAAAAAATAACAAACCTCAAAGCCTATCTTTGAAAAAGAACAAAAGGCTAGAGAAGATCACATCAAATAATTAATAATTTTGCTTTTGGGTAATATGACTTATTATAGTCTTTAAAATAATTATTTCTGCTGATCTATGTTTTCTACTCTATTAATTGATAAGTTTTAATTTTATTATCTGGAAAAATAAACATCGTGGTAAAAATATTCATCAGAAATAAAGTCTTCTGTCCTTGCTACATTTGAGTTCTTTTATCTTCCTTGTACTCCCCTCTTATCTCCTGGAAATATTCTCTGCTCCCTCTTACCCCATTCAGATGTCTGCTGATTTCAGGTCACTCACAGGCTGTTGGATTCTTTATACTCAAGCAGCAGCAATAGACTCTTGGGGAAAGCACAGCATTAATGGAAACATGAAACTTAATTGACAAAAATGATTAAAAAGAAAAAAGCCCCTTTGGGGGATTAATGTTCTCTAGTCCAGGTCGACTCAGTTAAAAAATACTTGTTCAATCTTCAAACTTTAGCCCTCCCTACTTGGTTAGAGTGTGTGTGTTTTCTTTTTCTTTTTGAGGGGGGCAGAGAAGCAAAGCAATACAGCACAGAAATAATGAAATAAGATCACAGAAATGGTATTCAATTAAAAATAATCAAAGCAAGTTTCTGGTTTAGCTAAGGACTTACCTGAAAATTTCACATAACAAATGAAAATAATTCAGGCTCTACTTTATAATCACTTATCCTCTTGAGCTAATATTATTTGTTAAACAGAAGTCTGTTCTTTAAAACAGAATTTGCTTTGTATTAATGACTATTCTTGGGAGTAATTTAAAAATAACAGAAAATGTCAAGAGAGGAGGTTATTTATCAAAGAAATATGAAAAAAGCTTCTAAAGGCCACCTCCTTTTAACCCCTCACCAAAAAAACCCAAAAACAAACAAAAAATCCAAAACCAGAAAATAGCACTGTAAATCAGAGGAAGGGGGAATATACGGCAGTGATCTATGAAGTGCTTAGATGTGTGGTTATTCAGAAAATTTGTTGAGCAAGATTGGTCCTGCGAGATGACATGCCCAGTGGTTTGCAATCCAGACTGTGCCTTGGAATCCCCTAGGACGCTCACACCAAGGACCCTCCTCTTAGAGGTTCTGATTTCCCTGGTCTGGGTTAAGGCTCTGGAATTGGGAAATTTCAAAAGCTCCCAGGGGATTCAAACATATTGTCATGGATAAGAACCACTGCATGGGTCCAAGTCTTTATTTTACAGATGAAAAAACAGTGGATGGAAACCTCCATAGCTCTCCATGGCTGATCAATGGTAGAAGCTGTGCTGGATTTCAGGTTCAGTTCTTTTCCCACTTGGCATTCTTCACCGTGCTCAGGCCTAGGAAAGAGTCTCGTTCATTTCCAACCTCCTTTAGCCTTGTCTGCATTTAACAGCACTAGGCCTGTGGTAGGTGTTCAGTGAATATTAATGAAATAAATTCCTGTCTCCTGTCCAGTTGCCAATACTGGCTGTGTTGGAAAAACCTGTCAATGGAGGATGAATATACAAACTGCCATGAGGTTTGCAGAGGATTGAAGCATTGAGACAGTTTCTGAGGGTCTGTTTTTTCATTCAACAAGCTGTCCTCACATTACCCTAGAACCTGCAAGGACGTCTGTCAGTTTCCATGGTACTAGCTAATTGTAGAGATTTTAGGCCAGGTTGGGGGTCCCTCAGGGGTGGGGCAGGAGAGGACTGCAGAAATCTTACACATGAACCACATGTAAAAAGAAGGGCAAAAATCCACTACCAGATCTTGGTAGGATTAACAGACTTGAAAATGTGGGAATCTGGGGATGGTATGGATTTTTCCCTGGATCTGGGCATGTGCCCACACAGAAAGTGCTAGAAGAGGGGAGGAAGAATGACACAGTTTGCAGAACAACGGCGTCTAATAAGGATGTGCCCACACAGAGGTGGACGTCTGGTATGAACTACACTCCAGGTTTTCTTCTGAGTTTTTCGCAGGAGCGCCTAGGAATTTCATTTCCTCTCAAACTTCATGGGCCTGGGCCCCATCCCAGGGGATTTCAATTCTACAGAAAGAGTGGAGATTCTGATGCATCTGCTTAATTTAAGGGGAGTTCAAATCAAACTGACTGACAATGATCTTAGTCTCTCACCCATCCTGCTAACGCCTGAGACTCCACATAGAGCTGTCATCCCTTGTTTACAAGTTTGTCTCTTTAATATGAAAATTGCCCAGGGAGAGGTTACAATTAAGGCTTTATCAATTATTCCTTTCAGATAATGGGTGAATGAGTTTCTTCACTCGCTTTCATAAGAGGTAGTGTGGATGATAATCATTACAAAAACAATAATGAATTTCTAGCCTGCTGTCTTCACTCTTCACCAGGTGAGGAACCCGACCACCAAGCTTGCACAGTGCTTGACAGTTGGCTATTTTATCATTTAGTCATTCATTGCAGCATGTCCCCTTCTTACAGATGAAAAAAACCAAGCAACTTCTCCTGGCATTCTCTTCTATCACCAGCCTTGATGAGGAAGCAGCTCAGGTTGAGAGAAATAAGGCCTTCGAGTGGGTGGAGTCACTCAACTGTTAGACAGATAGCCCAGAGGCACCACAGCTCTTCCCCAGGAACACATGTGAGTCAGACCCTATCCCAAGCCACTTCCTCTTCCAAGCATGGCGATCTTGAAATAAATGATTAGAAAAACAAGCCAAGTATTTATTTTTTTATTAAAAAAACCCAACAATTTATTGAAAAAGCATAATGCTTTATACAAATTCCCATTACAAAACCCCCAAATATCTATTGTTCTGTTTCCAGGTATGGTAATAGAATACAAAAATATCAAAATTGGATAAATTCTGGTGTAACAATTCTGTTGGCCATTTTAGACTTTAGATTTCTTGGTAGAGTTTAGCAACTAGTAACCACATGCATTTACACTCACACATCATTAGGATCTACATATGGAGCAAAGGGTCTTTGAAGTATGCCTTCTAGGAGCATAGACTTTCAGGTGTGGAAGACACTCTAAAATGTACTAGGTTCAAATCCTCATATGATGCAGTCTTTTAGATAACTTCCGCCATGTGGTTTCACTATGAATTACCATTCCCAAAATAACTATCCTAGCAGTGTTGGCTGCCAGCTAATAGCCACACCTCTGATGGCATCACTTAACAGATATCCACCTTGTATACCTTTGCAGGTTATTATAATTCAAAAAATCTTCTATACTTTGGCTTTGCCAACACTTACACTTTTCTTTCACCCATTACATCTGCAAACTTGTCCTAGGTCAAGTCTGCATTCCTGAAAGGAGAAACCCTTAGACCCAAAAAAGCATCAGGCCATACTGATTGAAGAAACTAAGATGTCCTTAGAATCCTTTTCATTTAGTAAGCCGAATTTTGCTCTAGTTTCTCATCACTTCAGAGACTGGTTAAGGCGAGAAACCTCTTTCTTAAAATTTCCCTCTTTTCAGTCATTTGAAAAGTAATCCAAAACCTATGCACTTAAATTCCTTAGTTTTTTCCACTAGCACAAGACTTTTCACCTTACAAAACCACATTTACACGTCTTGCATCTCACCGGATCCCCACAACAGCCCTGTGAGGTAGGCAGGTCAGGAATTACAATCCCCTTTTTACAGATGAAGCAATCAATCTAGGGCAGTCAAGTGCCCTGCCCAAAGTCACGCAGTAACTGATAGCACCAAGACTCGAATCAGGTCTCCAGACACCAAAGCCAACACCCTTTCCATTACATCATCTTGCCCAAGTGAAGGAGCACTTTCCACCGACTGGAAAACTAAGAGCAATTGTTAAAATGGAACAGAGCACCAACCACGTGCTAGCCAAAGCCAAAAGAAAAGAATTGGCCAGTGGAGAAAGGGAGGTGCTGAACAATGTGAAGGCGTGTGTGTAGGTTTGGTTCAATGACTTCTTAACAGCCAATTGAGCAAATAAAAACACGACTTAGGCACATTTCATGTTCAAAGAATGAGCATAATATCAGCTAATTAATACTCATTCCACCTCTACCAGCTGGTTAAGTATCATTATCTCAATTTGACAGATGGGAAAAGAGGAGAAAGATTAAGTGACTTGCTTACAGCGACAGAGAGAATATTTGTCAGCAGATTATCACTACAGAAAGTCTAGCATTTCATTCAGACAAACATGCCATACCTCTCTGGGAAGAGTAAACTATATGATAATTACACATAAGAAAATACTACAAGTGAGGAGGGGGGTACGAAATCGGTAGTTAGGGGGGATATACAACTGTGAATAAGATGCTTAAAAATTCAATCAATAAAATTGTTACAACACCTGAGAAAGCAGCACACCGCTACTCAAAGGGACAAATATTTTCAAAGCAAACAAGAGTGTTGTAGGTCAGAGTACAGGGATTGTGTGGGAAGGTCAACAGGAATATATCACCTGGTCATGCAGACAGATTTGCTCCGAAAGCTCTGATCTGTAAGAGATTCTTATGAACTTTTAGGAATTAAATTGCAGGTATATGAAATGTTATCAGATTCAAGGGTTAAGCCCAACCTCCTAAAAAAACAAAGGCATGAAAAATGATTGACTGATGACAAAGCAAGTGCTATAAGATCATAGTAAAAAAAAGAATAGAAAATTAGCATATGAAAAGGGCACATGTGAAGAATTGAAATAATTCATACTTGGTAGAGTAGGTTAGGGCTTCTGTCAAAGACTCTAAAAGCTGATGAAGGAGAGTAAATAATATTTGACCTAACATATATGTGCAGTGCTAGAGAGAGAAATATACCAAATAAACTGCTTATTTAATTAAAATAGAATTAAATATATATATATTTAGATATATTTTAGCTATGCTGGTACCAACATAATGAGAATAAGAGTTTTTACTATCTAATTTTTTTTATAGAAAAACATGTATATATACATATCTATATATATTTAAGGAGCGCCCTCTCCCCACATTTGAGATGATTCCTCAGTGGGAAGCAGTAATACAAATGGAAAAGTCTTCCCTTCCATATTGAGGAAAGGAGATAAGACTAAGTCACTTCTAGCAATGGGTATTTAAAAAAATATGTGTTTTTGTAATACCACGGTTCAGACTACAATAGTCACAAGTCTAAGGTCCTAATGTCAATGACAGTATTTCAATGTCCATTTGCTGTTTGTTCCAATAGGGATGTCTCCTTCTGCTTCTGTGTCACACATAGTCTTTCCCACTAGAAGGTGCAGGTTTTGGATAGGGCCGTGGTGTTGGGTAAGACGTTGTTTTTCGAGGACAGGAGCAGCAAAGTAGGCCACCTCCCAGAAGGCAGAGAGAAGCAGCAGCCCAGCCAGTGAAGAGAGCATGACCAAACTCATACCTGAAAAGACAAGACAGTGCATTTGTTTAATCAATGAATCACTAGAAACTTTTCTAATATAATTAAGGAAAGAAATCAATATCATACTCATTATATTTTTTTCCATTGAAAATAATCCCCTATGATCCCTTGGGGAAGCACTTCAAGGTTTGTGAGCACACACACACACACAGAAAAGAATGTTTACATTGCAGTTGTTGACAACCGCAACAATAGATCAGGCAATGTAGCATGCAATCCCAGGTTAATCACACAAGTATTTCCAAAGACATTTCCATGTGTAGGAGACTTGCAAAGCATGTTTATATATTTTAGAAGTCGGGTTTGTTTGGACCATGGTTCCTCAGCTAAAACTTAACAAGTCATGTTACTGCCACGTAGCAGTCTATATCCTATAAAGAAACTACTAGAGTGTGATGGAGACTATTAGAGTTTTCGATAACTGATCCCAAGTACCTATATACACTGAAATCTGATATTTATGATTTTGCAAAAATAGGCTTCTAAGCAGTCCATGGATCATTCCAGATTAAGCTGATCAAGGTGGATGTATTAAGCCAGACTCTTGGGGAGAGGATCTGTGACTGACTGACGGTGAACAGTAAGGGTAGAGAACGATTGGATCTAGAGTTATAAGGCCCGAGTTTGAATCCTGATGCCAACTCTCAAGTGCTGCAATTGCGAGCTAGCATCTTCACCTCTCAACCTCAGTTTCTGCTCTTCTTAAAGCAGGATCGTGCCATCTGCCTCACTGAACTGTTTTCGGGATCACATGAGACAATGTAAACAAGTGTACAGTGCACCTAGCAATTTACAACATGCTTTCACATCCATTACTGGTAAAATTTTAGCCTGTTGACCTCCAGCAGTCCCTACATGGTAAATCTTATGGGATGGGCTCCAACACAATCACTGCAGTATGTGCTTTCCTGCACGTGAGTGATTATATAAAAAGAAGCACACTTAATCTTCAGCCACAGGGGTTTTTCATCCATTCATCCTCATGGTCAACAAACAATAATTATATCTTAACATCCTGACTCTGAATGTAGTTATTAGGCTTTAAAGATGTGATCACACTGAGACAAAGAGCCTTGTCTCTGATCACAGTGTCGTGTCAGCACCTGAGAGCCAAGAATCAGCTCTTTAACTTCCACAACTTGCGATATTAAGAAACATGACCTTAGTAAAGTCAGTTTTATAGTTGTGATGGAACATAAAATTTCAAAGTGGTGTCTCAGCTAGTTTTTTCATAAATAAATTGATTTTTCATAAATAAAATTAAACTATTGGGAAGGAAGTATTATTCATTAACCCCCTGCAGTCATACTATTTTTTTCCCGAAATCATAAGTGTTAGTGGTGAACAATCAGAATTAAGTGTTGTAAGTATCAGAATAAACTTCAAAAAAGGAAATTTCAAATATATTAGCATCTTTACTAATATTTAAAAAAATAGTCCAGCATACAGTTGGAAAGTATAGAGCTTGGAACTTTTCTACTTTTAAGTGTATTTTGTCATCAATATAGGTTATTAAAGCGATTATTAAACTCATTTTAACATGAGTCACAGGCCATTCAAATTATTTTCAAGTTTGACATAAAATTTCATAAAATTCTGAAAAGTATATCTGGGAAGCTATGGCACTAGCTGGATTTTGCAGAACATAAAAAGGATATTTTCTCAGAAAACAAACTATTTTGCGCATGAACAGCATTACCTGGCATTGACCGGGGTCATGGGGTCATAGAATTCTTGAACAATTCTATTGCCATACCATGCTGTAGCAACTAAAACAGCCAGACCTACAGAAATTCAAAACAAAAGACTGTTAATCACTATGGAACACTGAGCAAAAATATACAGCCCATTAAATTTATAAGTATTTTACAAGAATTAAATTTCATCATGCTGACATTTTTAATTTAGTCAATTTTAATTTAGATAATTTTAATTTAGGGAGATTAGAAGTTCAGACATGATTTATTCCAAGTATTCTGTTAAGACAGAGAAAACTAATAGGCCAGAGTTAGGCATAGTTTATACCCCTCTTGTCATCTTATTCACTTATAGTCCAAGGTCACTGGCACAAATAATGCTTTCTTTAGAAACTATTCAACGGATTTATGTCATTAAAGATCTCCTTCAAAGATACTGTTACACAGTAGTGTACTAACTACTTTAGATAAAACCAATGTCCTTATTACTATAGATAGAATCACTTGCAAAAGGGATGATGCAAAAACTCTTCTATATTCTTCTTGACCAAAACTAAAAATTTACATTTCTGCAGGATCAAAAGGAAAGTAAAGAGCTAGATAGCAGGGAAGAGCATGACCTGTCTCAGAAAGAACCAGACCACAGACCACGCAAATTCCTACTGCCCCACTGGCCAGACATGCCAGGTATTGCCTTGAGATTTGCTGAGGTGCCATGTCAGACCAATTTATGCAGCGTACCCTCAATTTCCCACACATTTCATATTTCAGTAATACCAGAGAGACTACTTAATCAAAATAATTCCGTCATTTACAAGAAGTATAATATCTCAATTTTTCTTATCCAAAGAAATTAAATAATCTTCTATAGTAATTCTAAGAAACCATCAATATAAACATTAAATCTTTCTATGCTACTCGCTTTTCCCCCTTACCTCACCCTCCAAAAATGGCCCAATCTAATTGCCTCTTAATACTTGACAAAAAACACTACTTCTTTTGGCTGCTTAGATAGACCATGAGTATGCTCTGGAATTTGCAACCCTCACTCCCTAGGAAGCCCCTGAAACAGAAGTGGGAATGATGCCATCACCGATGGCAGTTACAAGAAGGCAAGTGAAGCCACGCATAAGTTTATTCACGGCCTCTGACGCCAGATTAAACCATTGTGAATAAAATGCCAGTCATGCTTTTTCTGACAGAAGCTAATCTGGATAAACTGAAAGACTGATCACTTTAAACTAATCAAACCTTTAGCAAAGCCACAGGCACTCTTCCTTCATTATTGCTTAATTCCACATATTATGCTGGCACAAAGACCCCTGCAAGGTCTTTTGTCAAAGAGAAAATAAGAAAGGAAAGTCTAATTCTAGTTTTTCCTAGTGGTAGATTATATCGCTGGTGTCATTTTCAAAAACAATAGACTACTACACATAATATAGTATACATACACTATATATAATATATACAGCAGTCTATTGTTTTATATATATATATTTATACATACATAAATCCACACACACAAACACTATTTTATACACACACACTATCTTATTTAATATAAGCCTTGTTATAAGGCTTTACAATGGAACTATCCATGTCTTCTTCTGGCTCTCATTTTTCTTAAATGTCACATATCTAACTCATCAATCAACACTTGAATAAAGCAACAAATACATTTTTATTTTCTATGGAAAATATAACCTCATCCTTTTATCAAGGTTTTTTCAAGGGCTTTCTGTATTGTTTGCTTTTTTTAACTCATTTAACTTTATTTCCTACCATTTCAACATTCCACCTCCACTCTCACTGGCCTTTCTCTTCACTGATCTATGGGTACATCCACCCACCTGGAACGTTGTCCTCATTTTTCTCCAGTAATCCCAATCCCATTCAGTCCTTACAAAGCAGCATGATTCACACATTCTTTATGTTCTCTCTCACTACATAGACCTGCTTGCTGTGAGCACAGATCTCAAATTTTCATGTGGCTCCTGCTTGAGAATGTGAAAGTCAACTGGAGTTAAGGTTTCTATGTCTTCAGATTTAAAGGAGCTGAAATACATCAGTTGAAGTGCAACAAATCCAATATAATCTAAGGAAACTGAAAACTACATCTTAAACCATGTCAGAGACAGTGCAGTAAGGTGAAAAGGGAGCAGGGCCTCTCTTACCTGCAAAAAGAAATATCACGCCCCCAATGACAGCCATCCGCATCTTCTGCACCTCATCATCTTCCATGCACTTCATACATTTCATGCCAACAGTGGCCACAAAGATGGCTATTAGTCCCAGCAGAATGCCAATCACCATCAAAGCTCTGGTTGCTTGTAAAGTACCTGGCAGAAAAAAATTTTAGAACATGTAAAAATCAGGCCTAGACCAACAAGAGAAGAGTGGCAGAAGACCTAGTATATTTCAATATTGTGTGGAAGAGAGAAAACTGAACCAGGAGCCAGGAAACCCCAATTCTAGTGATGTTTCTAGGTAACCAACATAGTTTCTTTTCCAGAAAAACAAATGCCTGGCTGGATGATGAATAAGATCCTCTCCAGCTCTAACATTTTATGTTTTCAACAATAAATTCAAAATCCTCTGGAAACGTAATTAATGATCTGCTTGAATAGGTTTAGCTGACCTAATACATCTTTAATCCTTACTAACAAAGCATTTTAATTCTAAAATAACAATCATATGTATTATCCTTAAGGTTAAACCATTTATAATTAAACTGGTTAACGATAGATCTTGATATTAGTCAACAGCTATATACTCCAGTCAGCAAGCTCAGAAAAACCAGGTGAATATTTGAAGATAAATGAATTTCTTATAGATTGTCCTGGCTGGATAAGCAACATTAGCAGCTCTAGTGGCTGGAGTGTGAGTGAGGAGTATGAATGTCATTTTCTTAGAACAAAATAAGATGACCTTTGAGATGTTACTTTAGAACATAGTAGATTCATATTCAGAGATATCACCAGTTTTTAAAACTATTTAAACTGTCATGTTGTAAAGTAGTAGAAAATAACTCAATGTAGTATTTCTCAGGATTCCACTAATTTTCGAATTTCCTGTTATTGTCATTGTTGTACTAAGTCATGATCAATAGACAGAGTCAGGTTTGAGAGATTATCCCAATTTGTTTCTTAAAGAGTAAAAACATTATATCATCATTGTGGAATAAAGGCACAGACTTAAAAAAAAAAACAAGCTGAAACTACACTGGATAGATGAGATTGATTAATTCTAGATGTATTTCCTCCTTCAAATAAAGATCATTATCTCATTGACAATGATAACATGTGACAAGTATTTTTGCATATATAAATATTATTTACATTGTAACAAACCATGCTATCTTGGGTAAGCTACTTGTTATTCCTTAGGACCATGTTTCTATTAGGTAAAGTGTGAATAATGATACCTCTAACCAGGGAGTTGGAACAATCGACTTCTTGAGGTTTTTCAAAAGTGGCTGACATGACAGAAACGTTTTGTATCACACTAATTTAGACCTAGGCTCAGTCTTGGTAATTTCAGAGGTGAAAACTTATGGTACCAATCATAATTAACAATGAAGATTTCTAAAACATTATTCAGTTTTAATTTGTTAATATCCTTGCCATAACCAGACAACCTATGATAAAATCATAGTAATCTCTTTCTAAGAAGTATCAAAGGTATTTTTTTTACTGTATTTGAGAGAGATTTTGGAAGCCAGGATAAATTTTTACTTGATTTAATTATAAAGCAAAATGGAGGCACTCCCTGCTCCCCTCACATATCCACCTCCTCATAAGCTTGTGTGGCCACAGATGCACCCTACCCACACACTTATCTTAAGATTCCACAGTGGCATAAGAACTGCTGAATCAAAACACATGTTCCACGGACCATGGGCTTACCGGGAACTGAAGCTGCTTATAAGATTATTGTGAAACTTCTTCCCTGGAATCACAAACCATACTGTGGTATGAAAAGGAAAGTACCAAGGACTCCACAGTTACGGTGTGTCTTTCCTTCTGATTTACCAACAGGTTTTGCAAACACAATCATTACATAGAAGGAAAATGAAAAATAAAATAACGAAGCCCTTATATAAAACATACATTTCAGATTTGGTCCTAAATTCCACTCAGAAGGAAAGCATTACAGGCAAAGAAACACTGGAAGAAGGGATGCTGAAAGTCACAGTGATGATCCACGTGCCAGGAGGAAAGAGTCATCACCTGTCTGTTTGCCTGGACTATCTTAGTTTTAAAACTACAAGTCCTGCATCTCGAGAAGGTCCTCAATCTTGGACAAACTGGGACAGGTGGTCACTCTATGGGAGGATGATAGGATGTGGAAAGGTGGGTTTAGCAGGGCGGGCAGAAGACATGCATCATGCAGGGCTTTGCAAACTAGGGTCAGGGGTTTGGAATTTATTCAAAGTGTAATCAGAAGTCATGGGAGGGTCTTAAAGAAGGAGTGACAGAATTTTTACCCTCAGTAGAGAGAGTACAATTAGTATATTTTTCTTATGATAGTTCTTCAAATTTGTATAGCCTCTTACATCTCTCAGCCCCTCAGCTTTGCTTTCTCATAAATACCCAGTTGTCCAGCCCTTCATTAATCACTTTTGTTGCTTCCTCTGATTTCTCTCCAAGTTTTCCATTTTGTCTGCATTGTAGGGCCCCAAACTGGACCCAGCTTCTATAATAACCATTCTGACCTGTACCTCACATAAAAACAGCAGGCCACCAGTCCAGCAGGTCTGAGCACTAGGCTCACACGGCATTCTTCACGAGGAGTCGACGGGGCCTCAGCCTCATGAGTCATGCTTGTATAAAACCACCCAGGAGGGCAACCCACACGGATAAACCACTCCAAGGCTCCATCTGCACTCACCTGGAATGTCCTAATAGTCACAGTGTCCATCTCTCAGGGTTTCTTTCCCTTTCAAGTTCTCAAGGAAAACACATTTGATTCACACCATACCCATTTACTCTTTCCACTTCTTTTACAAAGAGGGGGCAGATATTTTATTCTATGTTTGCTACAAACTTTACTATGTTTTATTTCCTTATAGAATAACGTATTATTTGTATAATACACAAAAAATAACAGAGAAAATGAAGAAAAACTATCCCTAGGGACTCATAAAAACCATATAGAGTAGGGGATCATGTTTCATTTTTTCAAACTGATAAAGTAATGGTGTTATCTTGAAAAGAAATATTTTCCATTTATAGCCTAGGATCCATTGACATACAAAATTTATTTCTACTTTACAATACTAGATGGATATCAAACACAAAATCTCATCTTGCTTCACTGCAGACATTTGGATGGATTTTTAACTATATCGATATGTGGGGAGAAATGCAAAACATACAAAAAAAAAGGGCAGAGAATCATACCAGCAAGAAAACTCAAGGGCTAGGGAAATGTAAGGATGGATGACAAGTCACAGTAAGCAGGTGTTGTGTTATAAGTTATGAGGGTTTTATGCACAGGTAGAATCTAAATTGCACAGTTTTAAGCTGGAACCAGACGAATCCTTCAGATTAAGGTCTTATGGCAGCCTTTTATGTCAGAGATCTAAACTATGCAATTGTGAGCTCCCCGACGACGCGGGCCAGATATTTGTTCATATTTCCAACCAAAACACTAAGAACAGTACTTGGCAGGCTACGTGGATTATTCAATCTGTGTTCAATTAATTTAAATTAGAACATGTCTTTATTCTTTCAAAATTGTACTAATATGATAGGTAAAAATACTTCCTCTATTGTGTTTAGCTTAATCTTTGAAATAATACCGGGAAATGCCTCCCTGGAGAACCTGGCCGGGGTGTTACAATCCTGCTACAGAAAGCCAGTCTTAGTTGAGACCATTAAAAGCTAGAAACACATACAGGGAAGGAAAAAAAAATCATGCTTTTTGCTTAACTTGATTTATCTTTTAAAATTTTCTAGATTTTAAAATTATGTATCAAATGAGCTTCCAAGATGAAGTTTTTTCCTAGTGGAATGAGGATCGGCAGGGTAAAGAAGTTGAGAAATGTTTGAAAGCCACAGAATACAATTTTGGATTAGAGAGATACAGTATAGCCTTGGACTATTAACTCTGAGCTGGTCTAATTGGATCAAATCTAGAAGCAAATACATTCCTTTCCTGGTCCCTTCCATTTGCCGATATGTCTACAATATTATCATCACTGACTAAAGCTGTCTGTGGACAAAATGGTTAGCAAAGATTCAAAGGTTACACTATTGTTTCTCATCATTATTCAGCAGTAAAGGGAGAAGGCAGGCTTTTAATTATACTTAGCTAGACTCATAATCTTGAGAGTAAAGACCCCCTAAGGAGTTCTCACCATTTGCAACCTGAAAGTATAATTTGGAAAAGTACTTACAAAGATCTCTACTTACAAGACAAGAAATGAGTTGGAAGTTACCAACCTACTACAGTTAGGTTAATCGACATAAGTGCAGCAAGACAAGCATAGACAAGTATGTGGAATTCTCCTTCTTTTTCTAAAGTCTTACTATACAAACAGCAGAATCTCCTGTGAATACCTGACATTGTTTATACTATCTACTGGCTATATTACTACATTGTTACCCTATGTACTATGTATTATAAATAAAATACATGTTAATTATATTTGCATTCTCACATAGTCCCTCTTTACGTCAGTAGTTGCTTAATAAGCATTAGACAAATAAATGAATTGACCGTTGGGTAACTAGAACAAAAATGCTCTCTTCTCCTCTGCAATTAAATGAGCTCATCACAGACTGTCACAGAATTATGCTTTCACAGCTTTTTCACTTATTAAATCTTTCGTCCCTACTCCAGTTGAAAGTTTCTCAAGAGTGCTCATTGTTAGCATTTCCATTTTATTGATGGGTGTGACCTCAGAACACTGGCACGGTCAGTAAGCGAAGTGGCCTGGGATGAGGGAGGAGGTACCACTTTTCAGGATGAGAGCAATTTTGCTGCCTTTTTTGTCTCTTAGAGAAAATGCCTCACGATTAAATTTGTGGTTCGATATTGCCTCTGTGCCACTTACTCATCACTCCAATCAAGGAAACCTGAACCATGCCTTTTTGCTTTCAATCACTGCAGTTAGTAACAAAGAACATTGGCACTGGAAGGAAACAATGTTGGTACCTTATAAATCATCTTAGCTGCATCCCTAGGAACAAGAATAGGGCCTGGCTCACGTTTGTTGGATGGATGAATGAATCATGGATAGATGAATCATGGATTCATCTCCCCACTCCTCCCACTCTGCCCTATTTTATAAGTGGGGAAACTACAGCCCAGACACATCAAGTGGCTCATATACATGGCTAATTAGTGCAAAATCAGGGTAAGAACTGAGAACCTCCGATCTCAAGCCTGGATTTTTGTTTTGACTTCCCTCATGCCAAGAGTCTGAACTGATTCTTGAAGCAGATATGAACACCAACAGCCCCTTGAACACGCTTGGTTCAGCAGGCCTCATGCAGTCTGGGGAAGTGTAAGTGGGTTCCCCCCTCTCTGCCTGTGCTTCAAAGACTGTCCAAGTCAGTGATTCTGCCTCTTTGATTGAGCCTGACATCATGGTGAGAGTGCTGGGAAACCTCACTGACAACCAACACTCATTAAACACACCTACACACATGTGGATTCATGCAAAGCAAGTTGAACAGGCTGGAGGAGCTTATAAACAAATTACAGAATACCAAGGTTAGATGAGACTTAGCGAGAGTCTAGCCTAACCTCCCATTTGTCTGGGGCTTGGATTTTCCCTACAACATTCCTACAGAATGCTTACTTAATTTCTCTGCTTGCACACCTCCCACCACGCAGCCTCCTAGGGCAGCCCAATCTTTGGACAGCTCTAGCTATTAAAATTAAGCACATAAAACAGGCACTAGTTTGCCAAAAGTTTGAGAACTGGATCAAAACAAGGCAAGATGTACAATTTAATTAAGAAAAGTCCACCGCAACTGTATCTGGCACTCTCCTTTGTATATTCCAACTATCAGCTGCAGGAGTCATCAATGTCAATAAACATCAAGTACTTTGGACAGAACTGAAATTTTCTCAGCCACAGCAGAACCACAACACACAGTGTAACATTTGTTTCCCCGGGAAGTTTCTCAGTTACATTTTCATAAACTGCTTTGCGAGAACCACCTAAAAGAAGCCCTGCTGTATCTCGTTTCCTATATTGGTTTAAGCACCCTGCATGCCTGTAGACATTTTATGAACGTCACGTGCTTTTTACAGCTGACACCAGTTAGAGCAGAGGAACAAGGGCTTTTAACACGTCTAGTGCTACAACCTTGATAAATCCCTGTGTTTCAACCCTAAGATGCCAAGCAGGCTCCACTGGCAAAGAGAACAAGGTACAATTTCAGGAAACTTCTAGCCAAGCTTTTCACCTGAAAGCACTTCGTGGAATGCAACCTTTTACAAGGAATAAAAGGAACCTTTTACTATTTATATAGACAGATAATCCTGTTCACCTTTAGATGTCACAAAACGAGATGTACCCAAATCAACCAATGAATAGCCACCTCAAGTGTCTACATCAGGTGGGTGTGAGCACCGCCGCACAGGTGGAGAAATGGAGAGAGGTTCTCTGGGATCCATCCAACGGCATGCAGTGAGTCATTGGAAGGTTGGGGAGAGTCCCAGTGAGTCAAGGCTCCCTCTTCTGAGTATCAGTTTTGAAAGACAGGCCTCCGCCCCACCTTGGATAAGTTCTAGCTTTAATTAAAACAAAAAAGAGGAATCTGATCTGGAATTGAAAAAAAAAAAAATTCAACCAAAGAAATCTCCAAAATGTGTATGGAGGGGAGAGGGAGGGTATTGTTTAGTTCTTCCACCATCGATTCAGAAACTGTACTAGCTATATTAACTACGAATAAATCAAAACGAAATAGCTTAACACATTACCATGTGAAGAGATGATCTGAGTATTTACAACATGGATCAATCTGCTTCGATTTGGTCATTTAAGGAAGTTAAAAGGAAACCCATTTAAACCTGTTGAAAACGAACTATTTTGTTCAGAAGCATCAGAGACTTCTCTGCAATTGCCCGTAGAAACTTCTCCATCTGCCGATTCCTCCACGACACCCAAAATGCCTGACACCATTTCCTTACACGAATTTATCTTTCCATGGGGAGAGTCAATGGTTATATAAAGGAGTATACCTAATATACTCCTTACATTTGGTATAAAGGAGTCCTGATATAGGAACTTTGAAAAACTGAAACGACAACACTCAAAACCGTCACCAAAGTCCACAAGTGTTCAAGGTGTTTACGCAGATTCGGAATTGATTCCATAACTCTAAACTACACAGCTTCTGACAAAGCTACATGCAGGAGGCAGACAAAGCCACTGAAGTAAACCCGAGTGATGACAACACTGCTCACCCTCAGCACACAAGTGGGATGGTGGGCCGGCTTGTTTATCTAGGCAAAGACTAAGCCAGCTTTTCTTCCATTTAGTTCAAGGGCATAACACAGACGCACTGCTTGACGACTAACCTAACACCTCAAGGAAGATACTCTGGCCATGAATTGTTATTACCTAAGTGAGTGGGAATTTAATGAGTTTCTGACAAGGCACTCAAAAGCTTTTATTTAAAAAAATAATACAAATAAAAAGCGATCCTGTCATCCTTCTCCCCACCATCCTTAGGAATATTTCTCTCTACATAATCCTTTCCAACTTGACAGAAATAAGAAGTGAACATCTGTGACAGAGAAATACCCTTGTGGAAGATGGAAACTTGGAGAAGACCCACCCGTCTCTCACTACCTTCCTTCCTGGCTGACCGCTGCTGAATTCCTCAGCTGTGTCTCCTTTGTGACGTTTTTCTTCACCTTTACTCGTCCCTCATATTATGATGGGAAGTTATCTGGAACTTTTCTCCCTTGTCATCCTTTTTCCACCTGCCAGCAGCCTTCACTCTCCAAAGTAACAACACAATCTGCCTCCTCCGAAGACCCCTGGCTTGAAAGCTAAACCTGTCAAGGGGAATCTCAAGAGGCTTCTTCAAGGAGCTATGGAAGGGGATGCAAAGGGGCCTCCAGGCACGTACTGGATCTTAAAAATCAAAAGAATCAAAAGATTCAAACTCAAGTGTGAGTAGCAGACCCTGAGTTGCGATGTTCCATATAGAAATGTGACTTTCACCGTGAAAACTCATAGTAAAGATAGAGTAAAGAAACGTATCTAATACTCTGGGATTATCTATTTAATTTTACAAACTTGAGAAGCTATCAGGCTCCAAATTTTTCAAGGCACACAATTTTCTTGTCCAAACCCTACCATTCTTCAATTTACAGAGAATCTTAGAATGGCCAGGAGAGGCCTAGGAAGGAGCTCAAGCTCAAGGTCGGCCTTCACCTCTCAATCTTCACCCGACTCTCAATGGAATGTAAGAGGAAACCACACCCAGCGGAGCAGAAAAGCGCCACCCAGGGAGTTAGAGGAAAAACTGGAGCTTAGGCTCGGGCCTCCCCTTTCCCAAACCACCGTTCTCTCCACTTCCTCCCTACAAAGCACATGCTCAGAGGATTTGATCAATTGAAGACTAACCACCACGTAGTCACACAACAGAATCATTTGGTAGCCACTATTCCAAAACGGAGCCACTGCGGGTCCGGGTCTCTAGGTCACACCTGTGGGGATGGGGAATGCACTCACTGCTTAGATTCAGCAAGGAGTCGAAGACTTTGCACTGGATCTGCCCGGTGCTCTGCGATACGCAGGACATCCACAGCCCCTCATAGATGGCCTGGGCCGTCACGATGTTGTCGCCCGCATAGGAGTAAATCTTCCACTGGGGCAGCGCCGTGCTGACGATGGCGCCGATCCAGCCCAGGAAGGCCAGGATGAAACCCAACAGCTGCAGCCCCGCGTTGGCCATGACTTGCTCGGGCGCCCGCGCGGCTCAGGGGTGACAGGTGCAGAAGGCGGAGTTGCGGAGTTTGCAGGCGCGCACCCGGGACTCCCAGGGGTGGCGGAGCCGCGCAGAGGAAGTTATTGCAAAGAGCCCTGTTCCCTGCGCCGCTGCTGGAGAAGCTCTGGGTCCGGGTCCGGGTCCGAGTCGGTGCTGGAGTCGGGATGCCAGAAGCTGCGGCGGCTCCGAGACTGAGACGCCGACCCGCTGAGCGCCGCGATTTAAAGCAGCTCCGCCCCCGGCCCGGCCGCCCGCAGCGCCCCCTGGCGGTTTCAGGTCGGCTCGCTGGGAAAGCGAGAGGGAGCATCATCGGCCGTCGCGCCGTGGCGGGAAAGTCCAGCCGGCGGTGCGGGGACAACCTGAGAAGGATCGGGTATGCGGTGTGCTCCTGGGCGCTCCCCCTCTCATTTCTCCCCTCCCTCCCTTTACCCTTGTGAGCCTTCTCAGGCTTTCCCTTCATTCAATCTACATTCATCCAAAAATTACTATGCAGGTGTAAACACATTTTTAAATGATAAAGCTGAAAAATGGAGCCCTCAAAGGAGACCTAGAGTTTCATTTTCAACTTTTTTTCACTATCTTATAAAAGGCATCTCCTATTCTCCACTCTCCTCCCCTCCCTCACACACACACCTCTCCATTTTGCTCAGCTTCCTCCGCTTCCCCTTTCCTGCCTCTGCTCCTTCCGCTCACCGTCTCTCCTAGAATCATATATTTCTGCAAGGGATGTAAGCCATCTCTAACTTTATAAATTAGGAAACCGAGACCTAGAGAGGAAACAGGATTTCCATACGATCCCACAGCAAGTTAGTAGCATATCCAGTGCTTGGTTCTCAGCCCACTCTGCTTTCCACTGCATCTCAACTTGACTGAAATACATGTCCTTTAGTCTGTTATCATCCTCATGAAAATGCAACCTGACCTCCTCGGCTCCTACACACACACACACACGCACACACATACACACCCCGGCCTCTTCCCCACAGCAGTTTCTCTTAGAGCTATGATTCATTCTCAGGGGGACCTGGCCCATGAACCCCTCTCACCCCTCCCCAAAGGATGCTTCATTAATGAATTATCAGATGCTCTTCGTCAAAGGCAAGAGCGTCTAGTCTGTCTTCCCCAGCAGAAAGAGGACTGGGCTGGGATTGAGTAAGTCTGGGTTCTGTCTTGATTCTCACAGTGACTGGCTATAGCCACCACACCAGGTTTTGGTCTAGTTGAGCCTTTAGTTTCCCTTATGGGTCTCTAAAACTTCCTTCTTTGTAGTTACTCAGAAGTGATGTTGTGGTTTGGAATAATTAAAATGTTTTCCCAACTGATTTTTGTGTGTGGCGGGAGTGTGATGGGGAGGAGAAGCTTCTATAGTTTTAGTAAAAACAGAAGCGTCTCGGAGGCAGAAATAAATGTGCTAAGGAGAAAACAAGATATGCCCCAGTATTTACTATGGGAGCTGCCAGTTCGTGCAAAGGAAGGAACATTTAAAAAGTTCAGAATGTGAATGGGAGGAATGAGAAAGCTCTCTCCCTTGGGGGATGTTGACACTGGGGGAGGCTGTGCATGGGTGGGGACAGGGGGCACTTGGGAATCTCTGTACCTTCTGCTCAGTTTTCCTGTGAAGCTAAAACTGCCCTAAAAATGTCTATAAAAATGCAAAAAAGCAAAAATCTCACCACCTCACTTCTTCCTGGCTATCTCCAGATACTTTTTGAAGGTTTAAGTCCAAAGGACAGGTTTGCACAGAGATGTGAAGACTAGCAATGAAGAGTGTAACACACAAGCTGGATGAAGAGATTTAATTAGGAGTAATGGAGAGTCAAGCAGTGAATGCTGCCCTTCTTCGGCCAGTCTGTTCAGACCCCAGGAAGGCTCTAAGGCAGCTGTATAGGGCAGGACTGCATCCAGGTTGAGTCCCCAGAGTCTGGGCCCACAGTCAACAAGTCTTTCTGGGTCCAGATGGAGGTTCTGTGGGCCTGTGGGTGTGGATGAAGCAGTATTAATCCCATTTTATTTATTTATTCCCCAGGATTACTTAGTTCAGATGAGGTTCTTAGAATTTGCAGGTCCCTGTGAATCATATAACTTTATTTTTTTGTTGTTCCAGTCAATTCAGAATTAAAGCTATTTTTTAAATTGTTTCTCTATTTGTTGTTTAGATTGGATTAATGAAGACAAGATTTGAGTTTAGCGAATATACTTGTGCACAGGGCTTTTAATCTACTTGAAGTCCTGTTTCTATCAACTGACTGTTGGCAAGGAATGGGAGGGATGAATTCTGTGGTCAGTATGGCCCCGTGTTTTTGTTTTTTATTCCAGGTCTATGTGAGGCTGATTACTTCATTGCCCACAGCCATGTTTGTGGGGTTGCGGTGAACGCTGTTTACTCCGTTGTGACCCAGGCCCATCTCTGGCGTCCTTAATCCTGTCTGGTTTTCTGTCCTTCCCTCAGAGCAGATAGGTGAGATCATGGCTCAGCACGAATCCATCAACTCAAGGGGAAAAACAACTTACAAATGTTGGCCTTTCATATATGAAACATAAACAACAAAGACAGTACTGTGACCAAGAAGTTTCTAGAAAGCCTGGTAATGGTATGGCAAATGTCCTGACTTGTTGAGTAGGACTATCTGCTGTGTACTTTCAGATAAATTAATTCCTGTCTCCGTTTCCCTATCAATAAAAGTTAGGAATTGACTTCTAAAAGGCCACCCAAATCTAAAGCTTATGACTTCAAGTAATAATAGCTGACTCTTGCGGGTAACAACCATCGTCTCCAACTGTTGAGCTCAGAGATTTTTATGTGCTGTCTCCTGTGTGAAGGTGATGGAGACACAGAGAGGACAAAACACTTCTCCAGGGTCATGTTTGGTAAATGGCAGGGCTGAGATTCCAAACTACACACTTTGACGCTGGAGCGCATGACTTTAAGTATTATCCTACAGTAGTTCGCTGTGTGAATCAAATCAATGGAGGACAATTGGCTTTTTGGACGGCCTACACATCCTTACCCCGTGTTCCTACCTCCAGGCAGTAGTGAGATGTTCCACTCTGTGACTGCCCTTCTGTTCCTTCCTATCCCTTCACAATCTCTGTTGCTGCCCACTGAGATTCTACACTTTAGGAATCCTGAATCATGTCGGGGAGGTGTTGCTGCTGAGGAGGGAAGTACGAATGAAAACAGCAAAGAGCCTGCATTTACTCCTGGTCCATATGTGACTGATGCTTAAGCCCAGCCATGCTCCCAAGACCCAGGAATAAGTAGAAGACATACACAGAAGATGAAAGTACCGGTGAGACTAAGAGTAGTAGAAGAGACTGTAGGCAAAGAAACACATTCCCAAGAGGCAGCATGGCAGGGTCTCAGAAATGGTTATTGATGATAGTCAGAAAGCCTTTGGGATGTACGTTTTTCACTTCTTGACAGTGCTTGCTAACATTGACTTTTCACGGCTTCTCAGGTGGTAAAAGCAGGATGGATGGACACATTACTAAGTAAACAGCTCATTGTGTAATTATTTAGAGCTTGAGAGAGGGATCAGAGAACAAATGTGAAAATTTTACATGAGTTTTAGTATTAGAACACGCAGGTTACTAATATTAAAAACCATTGGTGCCTGCCTGTCATAACTACTCAAAACAGTCCTTTGAAACTCCTGGAGCTTTTGAGAGGTAGCAAGATGTAAGTGGTTAAAAGCACACACTTTCTGAAGCCTAGTTCTATCACGTACCAGTAGAGCAACCTTGGAAAATTTGTGGGACATACTTGTGCCTTGGACTTTTCCTCTTTCGGACGAGTAAAAGTCTACTTCATGGTGTTACGATCGTTAAGCAAGTTCATACATGCACCTTGCTTGGAACGGTGGTTGGCACACAGCAAGCACATGAAATGGCAGTTATGATTCTTTCAAGCGGAACAGGTACATTTAATTTGCTAACCCTGCCATTTACAAGTGATCCTCACATTTGTTCAGAAAGATTTTTTTCTTTTTTTGCCTTGATCCTATGAGAATCCCACTTAATGCCGTAGTTAAATCAATGGTGACAAGGTATTCAGTGTTTCTAGCGGGCAGATGCAATTTTGTGTCCAGAAATCGAAAAGACAGCAATGAGAGGGTAGGGGCTCTAGATGAGATTTCTAGGCTCCCTCCCCTGGCTCTGGACAGGTTTCCCCTCTGAGTCCTGTGTAGTTTCCATGGCTAGGACTAAAGGCCAAGGATCTTTTTCTGAGATAAGGTGGGCCCAGCACAGAGGGGGGATGGAGATGGGGCGCCACATAACTCTCTCTGCAGATCAGTGAAGCTCTTCAGAGGGCCAGGGGGAAAATCCCCAGTTTAAGATTTTTATTACCAAATCTCGGCCTTGTTATCATGTGGACATAAACTCCCCCTTAGGCCTTCCCCTCAGCTCCTAGCTTGGCAGATCTATCTCTTCAGAAAGGAGGGAGCAAAAGGTGGAATTAATTTCAGCCATAAAATCTACCCTTTGAATCATAAACATTTACTTTCAAGCAAGTTGCAGAAGGACTATTTCCTTACTTTATCCCTTTGCTTATATTCTATTTGACGAAAGGTTTCTTTTTAATCATTAGGGATGCTAGAAACACTCCACTAATTTGATTATCAAGAATGAAGGTCAAATTGCTAATGATATTTTACATTTAATCTCTTTTATGTAATGCTAACTATATTAGTCAGGGTTCTCCAGAGAAACAGGGCCATTAGAAGATATGTATATATTGCTGCATTAGACATGATGTTAGTTTGATTGATTGATAGATAGATAGGGAGATATTTTATGGAATTGGCTCAAGCAATTGTGGGAACTGCAAATTCAGAAATTTCTAGAGTGGGCTAGAAGTCTGGAGACTCAGTTAAGAGTTGATATTGAGGTCTTGAGTCTAAAATTTTGCAGTCTTGAGGAGGATTTCTTCTTTTTCAGGAAACCTTAGTCTTTGTTCTTAAGGCCTTCGACAGATTCAATGAGGCCAACCCAAGCTATGGATGGCAATTTGCTTTACTTGAAGTCTATTTAGATCATGTTAATCACATCTAAAAAAAAATACCTTTCCAGCAACATCTAGACTGGTGCTTGATCAAACAACTGACCACTATAGCCTGGCCATGTGGAGACATAAAATTAATCATAGTAACTAATGCTTACT